AACGCGTTATTCTAAACTTCTGAATGACAAAAAACGCGTTTAAACGGCTCTTTTAACGATCGTTCGCTAACGCGTTCGGAAAAAACGCGTTTTTCGTGTCGTTTCTAACGATTTTTTTTCGCCTGGGGATGCTTTAAGACTTTGAACAATTTTAATAAACATACAGTATGTACGCGGTGTAATACAGTTCTTCCTAATTCAGCTAAAAAATATCCAAAGTGCCCCAATACTGAAAATACAGATTTAGCATTAATTTATGGTGCTGATTTATCGTTCGTTATTATTATCTGTTATTAAACACTTATCAAGTGATATTCAGAATACAAACAAGTAATTATGAGTGGAAATAGAGATATATCCAGCGACATTCCTTTTGAAAGTACATATCAAGATTTATTGAAAAACATCTATCTCAAAATTTGCTTAGTTTAATCTTTCATCTCGATGGTATTGGTTTATGCAAATCGACAAAGTTAAAAATGTGGCGATTAAGTAGTTCTATCATAGAATTACCATCTCAATTACGTTATCGACGGCATAATATGCCGCTAGTATCGACCTGGATAAAGATCCAATAATCCATATGTGACGGGACAACTTTATCGAAATGCTTCTAGATTTGAAAAAGCATCCAATGTATTTGAGTCCCTCGACGTCTCTTCATGTAAAGTACTATGGTGTGATTGGTGATCGTCCAGCGTTAACGTTAATTTTAAATTTTATTGAACACACTGGTTATTATTGCTGCAATTTTTGTTTTATACAAGGTTTCATTATCCCTGGACGCAACAAACAGCAATATTCATATAGGAAACCGTTGGTTCTCCGTGATTCGAATACATTTAAATTAAACTCATTAGAAGCCAATATTCAAAAGAAAAATGTATTTGGACACCTAGGGATAAGTATTTTGGAAATTATTCTGTATGTTCCACTACCACAATCAATTCTAGTCAATTATCAGCATGCAATATTACTACGTCATTTTCGTGACGCCGTAAAACAAATAAGTGCCATGTTAATACCAGCTGTAAGGAAACAAGTTGATTACGAGTTAAGAACACAACATTTCCACATTTTTTTAATAAGAAAATGCGCGGTACTGAAGATTTTTTATATATCAAGACACCAGAATTACGTAATTTGTTGTTATACGGATTTTTACCACGTTTTTATTCAGTCATAGAAATTAATCGAGCAGCACACATGGCTTTATTTATCTGTGGCATTCGTATAATTCATAGTCATGCTATATTTGGAAAATGAACAAGTGCAATAGCAGATGAACTTTTAATGACATTTCACTGTGATCATTCTGCGTTTTTGGATGGACTGGAGAATTACGTTCTTCATTTACATGCACATTACGCTGATATATTTGATCTTCATGCTGCATTATGTTATATTAACACATTTGCACAAGAAGATCTTATCGGATACATTGCATCGAATAGACATGGAACTCTATATTTTGGCGATCTTATTGTTTATTACTACAATATTGATATTACCTTAGTAATTCAGCCAATTAATGTTATGCCCTTTGGTCTTTGCAATGCTCCTGCTACGTTTCAACACCTTATGGACATTGTTCTAGCGGGTCTAAAATGGCAGTCATGTCTGATTTGCATAGACGATATTATCATTTTATCTCCTACGTTCGAACAACACCACCTAGACCTCGAGGCTGTTTCCTTGCTCCTAAAAGAAGCCAATTTAACCCTTAAAGCGTCCAAATGTGAGTTTTATCGCGAAGAACTCACATATCTAGGACATCTCATTACCCCTGACGGAATAAAGCCTGATCCATCACTCGTTTCCGCGGTTCAACGTTTTCCTCCTCCTCCTTAAAAGATCAAGGACCCGCAGTCCTTTTTGGGATTAACGGGCTATTACAGACGTTTCATTAAAAATTACGCCAAAATAGCTGAGCCTCTCCTCTTCCAACTTCGTAAAACTCCCTCTCGTTCCTTCTCCTGGGATTCTGACTGTCAAGCTGCTTTTTGCTTCTTAAAGATAAACTTACACATACCCCGATTATGAACGTACCTAAGTTTTGCCATCCCTTTATTCTTGAAGTGGCTGCCTGCTATTACGATCTGGAAGCAATCTTGGTTCAGGAGTACGAGCAACAGAAGTATGTGATCGCTTATGCGAGTCGCACATTGACCCCTGCTGAACGCAAATATGGAGCAACGGAAAAGGAAGCTTTAGCGATTGTCTGGGCTACCAAGCATTTCCGACCATATATTGAAGGAGTTCATGTCACTGTCCGCTCCGACTGCAAAGCACTTCAGTGGTTAAAAAACTCCAAAGATTCTACAGGACGTTTAGCTCGTTGGGCCTTGAAACTCGATGCTTTCGACCTTACCATCAAACATCGCTCTGGCAAAACTAACGAAAATGCTGACGCGTTATCTCGGTATCCCGTTTCTCACTCGTCCTCACAGCCCGATTCCCAATATCAAATCAGTCTTTTAGATTCCGCCGTCAATCTCTGGGAAGGCTGTAGTCTACTTAAGGATAAGGGTTCTTTCTCATAAGTGCTTCATCAAAGAAGCTTCTCAGTATCGAGTGGTTAACGGTCTCTTATATAAGAGTCGTAAACACTCTTCCTCTGTCTTCGAATCTCGCTCGCTTACGGGTCAACATCTAACATTTGTTTTGGAGTGGTTTCGAGCTATCCAATTGAGATGATAGATGATTTATTCAATTGTAGATGAAAGATGTGATTTGTCTCTCTTTCTTTTTATATAGATATATATTGAGTAATGAGATCATACTTAGGGCATACCAGAAGTACGGGCAGTGACACTTTAATACCGTACAGTAGGCTTAAAGTAACTTTCTGAAGTATATAATCTGATAGAGAAAAAAAAGCTCTGTCACTGTCTCTGGAAAGTCTAACGAATCTAAGAGTAAGCAGATTTGTCAGGGTGAGGGTGAAAAAAAATTTTGATTTATTCAAATTTAAGAAATTCAAGTTGAGAAACTGCCTTTTATGAGGCAGTGCACGATAGGGACGAACAAAGTTGCTCAATTAACCGTCACAGATTTTTTCAAATTATCAGAGCAGACAGAGAAATGTGTCCTGAACATTTTTGTCCATTGGCATTTTTTTCCAAAATGCTTTCCCTTGCCGCTAGAGCTCTTGCAAAAAAGGTCGTAAAATACGGAAAAAAAGCGATTTTCCAGTCGAAAATTTTCCTTATGCTATAACTCCGTCAAATCAAATGCTAATGAGCTTAAATTATTATCAGAGCTGTCTTGCTATGAGTACTACCTAAGATAAAAGTTTGAACCTGTTTGAGTTAAGCGTGCTCCAGAAATAGTTTATTCTTTACACATAGACAAAACGTCATCGGCCATTTTGCAAAGAGGTTTTTGCAACCGAAGATGGTTCGTTTGAAGGGTTCTCTACGGTTTCGTGAAGTGGGTCCAGAGTACTACCATGAACCGTCGTCGAATTTTTGGGGAAATGATGGAAAACACTCGGGAGCCTCTTGTCAAAAACGTCCACATCACCTGGGAGAAACCTGAAAATTTTTCTTTTAAAATCCGTTGAATTATATAGCATTCGCCGCAGATTTTCGTTCTACATAATGTATAAATGAAGGTTCCACAGTGCATAGAAAAGGAGAAAAACGCCAAAACTTTCGGATTTTTATTTTGCCTTTGCAAACTTTTCGAAAAACAAAAAGGCATGGACTAGAAAGAGAATTTTATGCGCATTACGAATATGAACTTTGTTTTGAAATACACCCTTTCCTCCGTCGGCGGCAACGAATTGGTTTTCGACCAACTTTTAAAATTATATAATTATATATATCGCTAATTATTATATATCGCTTTGTTTCCGTATTTTACGACCTTTTTTGCAAGCGCTCTAGTGGCAAGGGAAAGCATTTTGGAAAAAAATGCCAAGAGACAAAAATATTCAGGACACATTTCTCTGTCTGCTCTGATAATTTGAGAAAAATCTGTGACGGTTCATTGAGCACGCTGTGCTGGAAAAGTGCGTTTCTATCGTGTACTACCTCTTATGCACCTGAGTAACTCACTTATTTATTGAGTAACTGAGTTACTCGGAAAAAAATTTTTGTCAAAAAATGCGTTCCTTAATAAAAAAAAAGCTTTAGTTACCCAGAAGGCTATTAGTAACGGATTTGATAACTTATATAAACACAAGCCTTTCTTCTCTTCTTCTACACCTTCTTGAATGTAATCACTTTGCTGTTATATAAAGATGTTATTATATATAGATAGCTTCTTCTCTCATCGTTTCATGCCTTTTTTGTTGTTGTCTTGTGACGAGACCGACACGGACTGGGTCGGCTGGGTAAGGAAGCTTTTAAGACTGGTTGCGACGGATCGCACTTGAGCCTCAGTTTTTGTTTGTCGGGCCCGACCGAACAGAGGACTTCTCTTTCTTTCCGAGAGCATATGGTTAAATATATCAATAAAATCATTATATTTAGTATAAACATGTTCATGATGAATATTATAATATTTCTTTTTCCAACATGTAGCTTAAATAAAACAGTTTATATAAAAACAAGATAAAGAGTTAATTATTACTATTTGGCGCCGAGTTTGCGTTGTTTTCCTGCGCTCGAGTTTGCTTCTCTCGCAATTGACGGTACGATTCTAATTAGAGCTTTTTCTCAAGAACGCATGCAAGAAACTGTACTTTTTCGGATGACTTTTGAGAAAAGAATAGCTCTTTGCATGGCAGCCATTTTGAATTTATATTGGTTAGCGCACAGAATCAGTTCAGTCCTACCCCGTCGTGTGTTACTTTTCGGTGTTGAAATAGTAAACTGAGCACTACAAATTATTTCTTTTAAAGTTAGATAAAACAGACAGAATAAATAAAGAGCAAAAAGTCCAATATCCGTCTTTAGGCCCGAAAATACTTTGCCAGTGACACCAGAATGGGACAAAATAACTTTGATATAACGAAACAATAGTAAAATATATTCACGGTAAAAAAGAAAGAAAGAGAATAAATGTGATTGGCTTATCCACGGGATATCTGACAGCCATTTTTCAGTGTTTTGTGCACACACACCGACAACCACTTTGTAAGACCCTAGTCTAAAGCGAAGGGAAAAATCAGAGTAAAAGTTCCGCTACAATAGTGAAAACAGTAAGCGATATTTTTGACTTTGCTGATCGAGAAAAGAGAGGGAAAACAAAGCGAGTCAACAAATATCTTTGATGGTATTTTGTAAAGCTCGAAGAGTACTACAAATGAGAGAAAAAGAAAACAGTTTGACTGAATACTTTTTGTGCTGGGAAGCCTAAAAGTTGACTATTTGTTTTGATTATCAGCACTTATACGAGAAGTAGGTTAGAGTCATTAATTTGTCTCTCGCGAAAGTCCGATGACAAAGGAGGAGTTAGAGTTCTGCAATGATAATTGTCATATCAATGACACAAAGTTTCTAAATCATTGTTAAACATCAAATTAAAAAGTAAAAGTCGATAAAAAAGTTCATGAAAATGGTCTTGGCTAATATAAGTACGAAGTTTACATATAAATTTAGATTACCATATATTTAATGATTGAATTGAAAGTTTGAATGTTCGAATATTGAGCATTAATCGTAACTTCATGCTTGGGACAATTATTTCTCGTTTCAATATACCGTTCTCATGATCATAACCATCTTTAGATAACCATTCACCATTATCAAGTATTATTCGAACACACGTAGCCTCAGGTATTCGACAATGAATTTAAATTGTTTTACCATTTTTTTATACACCTTCTGATGGTTCATAAATCTGACATCGTTTTTCTAAGAATTTCCCATAGGTCTGACGAAAACTTATTGAATGAGGGATCAATGGTGAAGAAGCTTGTAAAAGAAATTTATTTGACGCTTCGTAATGTTCAGCATCACCAATTTTATTAGCAAACACATACAACATATAATCACCTCCGTGTTTTGATAGTGCAAATAAACAACGCCATAGATCTAATTCCTGGTCATATTGAACAAGACATCCATTTTTTACTTCTCGCTCTTCATCTTTTGTTTTTATTGAACCCATAAAGACAACGTTGTTTGGTGAACGAATCTGTACTACAGCATAATTTTCGTTATCTGGTAGACGAATGATATTTGAGAACTTTGGCATCACGAGTTCAAGTTCAAAACGATAGAATGCAGAATATAACTTTGGTAAATTCAAAAAACTTTCCATTGTAATTTGATTAGTCAGCAGCTGCCATTTTTCATCTTTTGGTAGATGTGAATAAATCATGTGTTCTGGGCGAACAAGAAAATAATAAATATCAAGACGTTGTTTAAATTTTTTACTATCATCTGTATGTCCTGTGTCCCATGTTGAATTAAGCAAATACCAATACTGACCAATTTCTACGGCATTTCAAGCATTTTGATTTGTACGATCAAACGCTTTTTGTGTTAATGTGTAACTATAACCTTTTGCATAGCCACTAATCTTTGCACATCTTAACCGGATACTATCACACAAATATTTGAATAAACCGGCATAACCTTCGTACACACTTTTTCTTGTTCTGAATACATCATTATATCCTTGACTTGGAATATTTCTTCCAAAATATAATCGAACATCATATTTTAGGTTTTGTGATATTCAATAGAATATAATCCAAACTTTGTCAATACTGCCTGTGTTTGACGAAAGCTGTTCAATTTTCTGAACTAAATCATCCAATGAATTTATTCTCCATGCATCAATTATTTAACGATAGTAGCGATTATCAATAGCATCTTGACGTAAATTTAAAAATGCAGAATTAAATGTATCAGAAGAATTGCAGGATCGAACTACATCAGTTGGCTGTTGAACTATTTCTGACAGTACAATTCTTTTTCTGGATTCAATTACAGTGCTGACAAATATTGCATCATTTGTGTTCGTTTCTTGATGTTCCGTTATGGTGGTGATCGGACGTAATATTTTACGTGCTGGTTACTGTGGGATTTTTCTCCGTCTTTTTTATCGATAAATATGGCCCTTTTATGTTTAATTGATGGTAAACGAACAGTATGTGGATTTTTTTATGCATGACGTTTTTGTCGTAAATATTTTATACGTGCAAGAGTAGCTGCATTCATTCTCACTTCATTTCTTCGTATTGGCGGCAAACGGCTTGTGTCCATTTTGGTGCTGAATTTATTTCGTTTTCGATGGTTTTTTACTGGAAGACTCTTTTTATGGCTGAACGATTTGAATATATTTTTTTATATTAAAACTATGAGAAAGGTAAAGATGAATCCGATTATCTACGAATAGTGTTATAGTTCTCTTATTATTTTATAAGAAGGAATAATGTTGTTTTACCAATACTGCATTACTTAGAGTGTAGTTTTTCAACTGATATCGTTTTATATGGTCAATCAACATATGAAACAAATATTTTCTGAAAAAATGGAAATAGATCAATATCATACATCGGAAATATCTTTAACGATTATAGACGTCACTCTTTGTCGTCTGAAGATTCGGTTAAAGATTCTTCAACTGCATGAAGCTTGCCCTGACATTATCGGTAGAAAGTTTTCTAGAAGCTCTCAGTTCCTGGGCATCGGATTTATCTTCTTATATTCAACACAAAGATCCAATACCACATAATTTGCGTAAACAAGCAACGTTCAAAAACATTACGCTTGATTCGGCGTCCGCGGATAGATTTTTCTTTCCATACACCCTGCAACAATGGCATACATTCCCTCAAAATTTGAGAAAAAATCCCTCTAAAATATTCAGAAAAAAACTACTTACCTATTACGAATGTAAGTTTTCATATTTTCGCGTTTATAATATACCGAGACACATCGATGTTGTGTATAATAGACTTCGATGCAGTTTTTCTACCTTTTTTTAATTTATTTAAAATATCTCTATCGACTAGTAGTTTGTGTAAGTGCGGACATCTCATTGATTTGGAAGAGCAGACTTTCTTCTATCATGCTATATATATGAAAAGATTTTGAATATATAGGAAAGCAGAGAAAAATTTACGAACTTAAAATATTGAGATTTTCTAGGCTTTCAAGGAGAAACTTGAAAACTTCATAATGTTTTTGAGGAATGGAGAGCTGAGAGTGGTCTCACTTTATAGCCCAGACTTTTCTCTACGTTAGACTATGTTCAGCTCAAAATGACAACTTTTCTGCAAAAAAGAGGGGAGAGGGGTATCCTTAAATAATGAGCTGTTGTGTTGGAAAAAATCCGCCTTCTGCTGCATATGCACATGCATACAGGTGTGTATACCAAAGAATTATTTTCTTCACATTTACTTATACCAGCACAGGTGAGAAATGAGACCTATTTAGATAAGGGAACAGTAAGGAACAACTTACTGTGTACATCCTCTGAATTTACTACCTGACTCTCTATTTATACTGATTTTTCCTTTTCAGATAAAGATTATAACAAGATCAAAGCATTGTCTACTCGCATTCAGATCGGATTGCACTATGTTCTCGAAGAAAAGTCCGAGTAAAACATAGTGCAATCGTAGATAACAAACGGTGACTAAAAAAATGTGGAACTAGTACGTATCGGTACAACATAGCATGCCGTCCGCACTAGTAGTGCCGGCCTTTTTTCAGTACTATACTGGGATTTTTCTGTACGAGAGTCGATCATGTTTCTCACAAGAATCTTATAAGAATAACGTACGAGTTTTGCTGACTCTTAGCAATTTCTTATGAATTCTTGTGAGATTCTTATAAGATTCAGCAGAATTCGTGTCGCTTTCGTGGAAGATCTTATATAAGAATTGTATAAGATTCTTATAAGATTCTTGTAAGATTCTTACATGCTTCTTACAAGTTTCGTATCTGATTTTTATATAAGAATCGATGACTAGGGAAATATCTTAGAAATTCACTTTATTCTTTTGGGGAAAGTAAGAAAAGAGTGCGAAATTTAGAACTGAGTGGAAACGAGCCTATAAGCTATTTAATTATTTTGGCTATCTAGAATGGTCATAAACTATCTAATTACACCCTATAAAGTATATATCATATATTCAGACATAAAAAGCTCTTTTTACACACGAGATTTCCCGCACAGATAATGATGAAAACAGACCGATTACTCATTTATTACGCGGCATAAATTAAGTTCATAAAATATACAAAATATTATCGAATACCGACATAATTAATATTTGATTTTATATTCAAACTGTTCAAACTTTATGTACATCAGGCATTGAATTATATAAATGTACTTTAGTGGCATCTTCGTAACTTGGTAATTGATATTCTTTTTTAATGTCATCAATCGTTGAAATAACTACTTTCTGTTTTTGATCATTTTGTTTATTCGATGTTGAACTTGCACAAAATTCTTTCAAACAACATAAGATAGACATAACAGCAACAGCAATAGCAATTGCAAATGTATAATAATTATGCCAAAAGAATGTTCGATAAGGCATTGGTGTCGTTTTTCTTAGAGAAAGTGGTGATCCTCTCGTTGACGATGATACCAACATTCTAGGTGTTGTTAAACGAAACGATGACAGTAATAAACTATTGATAATTACAGATGAATGATTTTTATGCGAATGATGTTGTCCAAATAACCATGGAAAATGATGATGATAATGATGCTGATGATGATGTGAGAATGGAGCATGTGTTGGACGATAGACAGGTCGAGAATGAGAAGGACGCCATGGTGAACAAGTTCCTGATTGAAAATATATTAAAAGCAACAAAAATAGACAACAAAATGTTTTAGACATTATTAAAATGTTTTAACATTATTCGAAGAAAGTGCGTACGTGTGTATTGAATAAAAAATAACAAAATATGACATTTTTTATTTTGGTAAGTAATGATAAGAGTCTTTATTTATTTAAGAAAACATCCAACAATAACATGTGTAAAGTCATATTGAGAGATAACAAGTTCTGACTCATCTTCTCATAGTTCTAAAACATACTGTATAATGACGATAATAGCATCAAATGTAAATTCTTAATCTGATATTGCAAGCGAAAACAATTGTCCATACGACATGTTTAATCTTGTGTAAAGATGTCATTCTTGGTTGTCCTTTACTCTTGTGACGCCAGCAAGTTAATTTTATTACTTTTATTTTTTTAACGAAAATGTTTCGTTTTTTATATCTGTCTGCACTTTTATATCTAGCAGACTAATACCGAGTAATTCTGAAGAAGACTAAAAGCTCTAGTACTCAGTATCAAAATAAATATGATATGCTCTAACATAAAGGAAAAAGTCTGATGTCTTTATTTTCACTACAGACGCAATTAAATGAAAATGACTGGATTTGTCTACATTATGTTGAAAAAGTTGAAACAACGTGTACGCACACATGAATCAATTACTAAAAAAAGATAGTGTAGGATCTAATAAGTTTTTTATACAAAAAAGGGAGCCTTGTTGCGCACTACTACTACGACTACAAAGCATTGCTGTAATCAGTAAAGTAATGCTTTAAGAACATAAGTTTTATAAGCAAGAAAACCAGTCATAATACAATCAGTTTTCGTTCAAACGAATGTTCAATCGAGAGACTTTATGCTCTAGTCCAATATCTTTTCTTTCTTTGGTCACATTTCTGTACGCATGATCTGCTGTTTAGAATGATGTATTAGAAAAGTGACTTTTATTTCTTTTCAATGTTCATGTTTTCTTTTCTTCTATCCATTTTGTAAGGCTGTACGTAGCTTCATTCAGTTCGTTTTTTGTTGCAGCCAACTAGTCAGTTAGTTTAGTTGAAGAAGACGTTATTGACCAGTTAGTGCTCTACTAACTTGAAAGAGAATATTTACTCATTTATTTCGTTATTAGTCATTTTCTACGTAGTTTATTTTCGTTCGTGTATTTTATATTTTATCTTTTTTACAAGTATATTATCAAAAACAAGCGGTCAGCTCTGCTAGCAGAGACGCGGGTAAAAGCAACTAAGGGGTATAAGGCATACGTATCGAGAAAGTAGAAATTATCAAATGTATAGATTGACGATGCAGAGAATATATACAGCCGCTAACAAAGTTTACTAAGATACCAGATGATTTGTCTATTTTTGAGTTTTGCATTCAAGCTATGTGCAAACTAGTACGCCAGTGCTTGGTCATATGATATTAGTTTTTTGTAAGTACTTTGATATCATGAAAACAGGCATTGAAAGATTAGAAGCTTTTCTTATTAGTAACATTATTTTATTTTACCATGGCATTTTGTTGAATGTGTTGGCAATTATTAACCTCCCACTCCTCAGCCCTCCGCTTGTGGGTGGCTGGATAGCCCAAAGTGTCTACTTTCTAATGGCAAAATTTAGAAGATGGCTAAACAACGTATTGAAAATTAAGATTCCTAAAACCTTTTCAACTACAGTGAAAAATAATGGCACAGTTGTTAACTATTGAATCTCTAAGAATCAATACCAACATGAGTTTAATATACGTTAATCTTTTCTTTTGATGTCGCCATTATCAACCACGACAATGGTGTAACGTGACCAAAAATGACTTCTCTTTTGGATCCTTCTGACTTCGCAGAATTTTATGACTTGCTGTGGCTAGCCGGGTGTTCATGACTCTTCGTAAGAGGGTCCTCATGGCGCCTTGTCATTCTTGGTGAATGTTGAGAGCTCCCCTAGCTTCTCGTGACTCTTCATGACTATTCGCGACTTCTCATTGAATTTTCACGGCGCGTGAGAGAGTAAGGGAAAATTCACATGCTATAGAATTTAGAAACTTTTCTACTGCTCAATAAATCACCAGTTATCCATTAGGAACTAAGCAAATGAGCAGCAATTGAATTACTTATTATCAGGCGGTATAGATTTCAGGACACGGTGCGTATCTAAGGTTATTCCAAATCGAGACTCGGTACCGACTAGAGACCCGAATATTCCAAGAAATATCAAGTTTTGTAGAATAAAATTCTAAGATTAGCTGCGATTAACATGAAACTATTAAGCTAAAACCGTAATTTTACAATAACTAATAAAAACTAACCTGGAAAGGCGAAATAGTCTGGATTTAAAGTTGAGAAGATGTTTTATATCTAACACTAGGTTTGCAGTTCTTTCCTTTCGAATCTGAGGTATTGAGTGAATGTAAATCATTTTTTTATACAGAAACTTTTAAGTTTAGCATCAAATAAATCAGACTTAAATTTTGTCATGCGGATTTTTTGCAAAAATAAGTTTAAGACTTTTTAGCGTCTCTTGTAACAGTTACGATATATCACAACAGAAAAAATGTTTCAGAAAACGGAACAAAAAAAACCTGTAAAATTTTCATGGGACAGATGGGATCTGGACAACATTATTTACTCATGGGTTCGGACTTACGGGCTCGAGGCAACAGAAAAGTTTGTCTCGCAGGACTCTAGCAGAAAGCGCATGGAGACAGTTTTTCCTGAGTGCAAATAAAAAATATTAGAGAATTTGCCTTGAATCGCTTATCTACCTCGCGTCTAAGCAACAATAACCACAAGCTTTGTAAGGTGAACCAGCGACGAAATCACACCATCTGATCGAAATACTTGGCAGGTTAAAGTTTCCGTTCTTTTTTATGTGTTTAACTAGAAAAACAATGACTATAAATTATCTCTGATTTCTTTTACTCAAAAGTTTGGTGCTTACGAAAGCTAGGATCGGATTCTGCCACCATCTGCCACTTACTGTTATTATTAAAACTATTTCCTTGTAGCCACCGTTAATTATTAGCTCACTCTGTGCTATAAAATAAAAAACATGACTGGCTGAAATGTACCTTTTTCGTTTAATTTTTTCTCATCGAATTCATTCTCTTCACGTTTTCTTGAAATAAAATTCAAAAACAGCTATAGGCTCTGTAATATATCCTTTCGAACGGAAAAGAATGTTCTTGACATTGAAATTTCAGAATTTTACTCAATGAAACGATTCAGTAGGCAGGAATTCTGTCGGATTCTGACTTTCCAAATATTCTGTGTATGAATTATTTTTCGATCCTATCGAGCTTTTTAACTCGAATGCTCTTTCATGATGTCAGAGAGTCAACGTATCTTAACATTTTTATTATCCTGCTAATCCTGAAGTATTTTAAAAATAAAAAATATCCAATTAATAAAATTACCGCAATTAAAACCAAATTAAAGTTTATAGAGTCTCATCGTCTAATACTAATATCAATATAATAATACGTGCCTTTTTTTCTTTTTATCTTACCTTTCATCGAACAAACTGAAAACACACTATTGTCGAAGCCGTGAATAAAATATGTTTTTCTTTCATTATTCAAAAAAATCATTTCTTTTTTTTTTGGATAAAATGATTTTTACTCGGTGAAATTGTTACATATTTTCCCAAAAACGTTTTTTCAGTTCTAATTTGTGAACCAAAATAGTCCTAGACTCGACAGTATCTCTCTGTCTGATGTTCTTTATGCACCAATCCATAGTTTAAAGTTGTATTTACATTATCACCATCATCACTCATTTTGACTAAATTTTGTAAACTATTAATTGTATTAGGATGATTAAACAATAATAATTTCTCTTGAATATTTAAACATTGTTGTATATTCAATTTGATTAAAAGCATATACTTTATGGTAAGTAGAACAAATTTTATTCATACATTTGATTAATTTTAAGTTATCCATTGGTTTACTTTCTTCATATTGTTTAAAAGACTTTTTAAAATAAATTAGTGCTGTTTTAGAATTATTTGTATGGAAATAAATATCACTAACAGTAGATAGACAATCACTAATACATGAATGTTTAACAGGTAAAACCTTTTTACAGATGATTTTAAACAAGTTTTTAAATAATAATCTGATGATCCTTCGGGACTGTTAGTTTCATTAGAATATGGATCAATACTAACATGTCTAAGGTTAAGTTTTTTGATTCTAATGTTCTAACGGGCAGACCATAAAGAATTGCGCTGTTAGTATTTTCAAATTTTCTCCTCCTCCTTACATTTGATTGAGCTAGTTGTTTTACCAACAGATTACCCCGTTGAGTTCGCTACAAAAAGTGTATTGACTGTTTCGATATCTCAACGCCACTTGGTCCTCGAACCTTCGGAAGGTGTTTTTTTGTAATCAGCGGATCAAGATGCGTATAGAGAAGTATATTTCGAGGTTCCAAAGGCACAAGAAGTGTTCGAACTTTGGTCGAACTTTAGAAGTCTTTGATTTTGACACCCTACGATTGCAAACCCATCAGCGACCTCATATCAAACGATAGAATCTACATTTTTACGCCATTCGAACCGCCTTGAAACATAGAAAAAAGTTATAGATTTAATTTTATAAATTTATTTTTCTTTTCTGAAATATTTATTTTTTTCTTTGAAAATGACATGTTTTCCCCTATAATCGCCCACCTTCACGGTTCTACGTTAGGGAATGTAGTCAGCAGACGCTCAACATAACGACTAATTATTTGTTTTCGAAAACCAAAAAAAACAACCTGAATGAATCAAGTTTGACTAAGTTTTATTTGTTTTATCGGAAGACTCAAATTATTGGTAAAAAAATCGTCATTTTTTTAAAAATTGATAAATAATGAAATTCGTCCTCAATTCTAATAGAAAATTATTCAAATTATAGATGAAAAATAGAGATTTTCGAGGGCATACACGGTGGCTACTTCAATTTGCCTCTCTCACAAACTTTTATTAGATAATACTAAAAAGACGGTAACTACATTTATTACTATTAAATACTAGAGAGCGCAATTCTTTATGGGGCCACCCGTAATAATATATTTAATTAATAATAATTTAACATTTTTAAGTAAGTCTTTATTGGTTTTCCAGCTAACCAACCACCTTCAAAACCCAAAAAAGTCTTTCGGATTTTCTAAAAATCCTCCATTTGACAAAAAACTAGGACCTAATTCAAAAATCGGTGCTTGTTACTCCATGTAGTTTCTTTTTCTCTTTTAAACAAAAAAGAATGAACTCTCTACGACAAACCGTTATTAAAAATCTTGGGACACTTCAGATATAACTTCCATGTAGAGAAAACGCTATATAAAATGCACAGTTTTAGGACTTCTAGGAAAATCACTGCTTTCAGATGTATGCTACAATAATTATTTACATTATAAGGAAAATCTGTACAGGTCTAGATGCGGTATGATATTTATCAAGAAAAGCAGTGTTCAACGGAACCGCATAATTGAATCTTGAAAAAATAAAAATCCAACCGTGCACATTGGTTATTGGTCATCATCATTGTTCGCTCGATCGGGTTCGTTGATTTCATCCATTTGTCGATCGACAGCGCCGATTAGTGCTTTGACAATGTAATCGCCAAGCGAGAACTGGTAGTCAGATCCACGATATCTATGGACTTTCTCTCTTTCTGTTCGAAAATCATCCGTCACATCCACATGCTTCATCGTCAGATCCCATTCATTCAAGTAGTTAACGCAAGTTTCGTCGTCGGTGCAGAGTAGAAACATCACATGAGTGGTATCCGATTTACGTTCTTCGCGCATGACACGCTCAAATTCAGCCAGATCGGGGTCGCCGTTATCGTCAGTTGGTGCTCCATCGGTCGCAATAAATATCAATAGTTTTTTATCGTAGCCAGGACGGGCTGCTGGTAACTGAAGGATATCCCGCAAAGCAGGTGCGAGCGCAGTGAAACCACTTGGAGGATTAGTGAATGCCCGCTCGACGTCTCTGGGATCCTTGATTCTGAGGAAAGCTGGTCGATTGAGAAAGTAAAGATCGACTCCGTTCGTATCAAATATAGTACCGATTTCGAGAACAATCTTCACAATGGAACAAAGTTCATCCCAACGGGTGGACTTAGTTCCATCGACAGGGGTCTTCATTGACCCAGAATCGGCGCAGAGAATGACGAGCTCAAAATCAACGAGTACTCGAAGACGTTCGGCTAGTCGATTTTTTATCTCATACTTAAGAGACACGTCATGGAGCCGCTTGTCAACTATCAAATTAGTACGCATAATCAGATTTCATTTTTTTTAAAGTATTATTATTAACAGATTATAACAAAAATGGTATCATCCGTCGAAGTCGGAAAATTCTAGCGTTGGACGAAAACGCTTTTCATTATCAAATCAAATAATATAGGAGGCAGTGCACGATAGGGACGAACAAAGTTGCTCAATGAACTGTCACAGATTTTTCTCAAATTATCAGACCAGACAGAGAAATGTGTCCTGAACATTTTTGTCTCTCGGTATTTTTTTCCAAAATGCTTTCCCTTGCCGCTAGAGCTCTTGCTAGAAAGGCCGTAAAATACGGATAAAAAGCGATTTTCCTTATGCTATAACTCCGTCAAATCAAATGCTAATGAGCTTAAATTTTTACCAGAGCTGTCTTGCTATGAGTGCTACCTAAGATAAAAGTTTGAACTTGTTTGAGTTAAGCGTTCTCCAGAAATAGTTTATTCTTTCCACATAGACAAAACGTCATCGGCCATTTTGCAAAGAGGTTTTTGCAACCGAAGATGGTCCGTTTGTAGGGTTCTCTAC